CCCCGCTATCCCGGCCCAGCTATCCCACTCCTCTTCTCTCTCTGTAGCGGACCCACCAGGTGTGGTGCTCCGCTAGTGGTAGAGATGAAGATGGAGGAAGAAGGGGGAGCAAGATGACGCACAGCGCAGCTACCACGCAGGACTCCAACGCACGTACTCCAAAAATGTGCAAGTGAAGAATGAGACTGAAAACAGACAATGGTTGGGGTATACCCCAGCGGACTGACGGGACTGGACTGGACTGGTTGGTACCGACAGAGGTACCGGCCTGGACTGGACTGCCCCGAATAAAACACAGGCCTGTGAGAACAGGCCAAGGGGCTGGTCTCACAGGCCCACCGGAGGTCCGCTACACGATTCTCGGCCTGTGATGGATCGCCTAGATACAAGCACGCTTCCGCCAAAAAGCGGAACTCTACCAAACAAAAGAAACCTGAGTACTCTAGGATGCGGAGCAAGCTCCATGCCGAGTCCATGCGATGCAACCTAGGATATAAAATGTCACAAAACAACAATGTCACAACTAACAGCCTAAGTAAAAGCAAAAACAACTAACTAGCATACATGTCCTAGGAAAGCAGAAAGTAGTGACAACTAGATCCTAGAATGTTGGAGGCAGTAGCCTCAGTCTGGGAACAACTGACTAGTGTATAAGTCCTAAGAACAGCAAAAACAGAACAACTAAATCCTAGAAATGTCAGAGGCAGTAGCCTCAATCTGAGAGCAACAAAGTAACAACAAGTCAATCATATGTCACATAAGAAGTGTGTCGCAAACCAAAGGGTGGGATGGTCTTTGAGGATGGCGAATGTAACCTAGGGGTCGAAAACTCCTAAGGGCATCCACACATAGTGATAGGGAAAACACATGTCATCAGGCTCAATGAGGATAGGGAACAGGGAGCGAACAGAACCAATGACCCTAACGGATAGACCATCAGGGCGGGTAATGCTCGACTAAGGGGTGACCGCTATGGAGGGTCGACCATGCAAGGGAACAACGGAGCCTGCTATACTGGGCGCACCTAGATGAAGCATGCGGGGCTGCTTAACTAGGGCATGAGGGCCGGTGAAGGGTAGAAAGATGATGGGTAAGGGAATCATGCAAATGACTCCTAAAGTGAGGGGAATCGGAGCTAGATCCATAAGATGGGAAGCCAGGGCAATGCTACGGTCCCGATGCCTATGCGTATACCAAGGGAGAGCCCAACTCAGAGGAACCCGACTAAAGGGAGACCATCATGCGACACAAGCAGGGTACTGTACAGGGTAAAGTGGTGAGAGAGTGGCGACGTCTGAAGTAGGCAGAGTTGATCGTGACGAAGTCCATGAAGCTGCCGATGATGTCCACGATGAGAAGTCCAGAATGTCGTCGAGGAAGAGTCGCAACGTCGACGAGCCAAAGTAGCAAAACTGGAGTGGATGGAGTACTGAGAAGTCAAGGACGTGGAAAGGTAAGTCAGAGTCAATCGTCGTATCGAGCAGGACGACGACGAGTGCGCTGTGGACGCTCAGAAGCATCCGGCTGCTGCTGAAGGTCTGCCTCAGATGGAGCAGGCTTGACTTCAGCGGTCTCCTCCGCCGGGGGAGAAGGAGGAGGGTCAGTGGGTTGAGGAGGAGTAGTGAACCCAGCACGATGAGCACGGTCATAAGCACGCACCAACATGCGAGTGCTCGAGGGGCTCCCAGGTAGCCTCCTCATCAGGGTAACCCTTCCAACGTACGAGATACTCGACGTGGGGAGGGTTGTTGTCGGTGACTCGGCGACCAATGATGTCTGAAACGAGGAACTCCTCGTGGCCGTCCACCATGATGGGTGGAGGGCGCTCGTATGGTCGTCCAGTGAAACGCTCAGACGGTCTGCGGTAAGGTCGCAGTAACGAGACGTGGTAGACATCATGCACACGAGCCGGGGGTAGGTCGTCAGGCAACTTCATACGAAAGCTGACCGCGCTAGATGCCGTATCAGAACCGACGGCCTGGAGGATGCGGCATGGGCCAAAGAAGCGACGCCGAAACTTGCGAAGCGTGTCCGCTTCGAGCTGTAAGTGGCGGACGTCGATAAGCACCTCATCACCGGCCTTGAATGGGTGATCCATCCTCGATCGGTTCGCACGTGCTTCCATGCGAGTCTGGGAAGCGGCTATGTGCTCATGTGCGTTCTTCATAATCGACGTCATGTGTGCAACCCAATCATCCAGCGCGGGACAACTCGTGTCGGGGTGCATCTGGGACGGTCGAAGGAAGTCCGAGGGAACACGCGGGTGATAGCCGAGGTCGCAATAGTAAGGCGACATCCCCGTGGCTGGCGAGACGGCGTGGTTGTAGGCTATCTCTGCGTGGGCAAGATGGAGATCCCACTATTGATCGTCACGAATAATCTTTCGGAGAATATCTCCGAGAGTCCTGTTCGTGATCTCGGTCTGACCATCAGTCTGAGGATGGTAAGACGAGGAGAAGCGGAGCTGAGTGTCGTACACCTCGTGGAGCCGTCGCCAGAATCGACTGGTAAAGCACGGGTCACGATCAGATATGATGCTCGGAGGTAAGCCGTGGTCACGCACGACTCGGTCAAACACGATGTCGGCGATCTCATGTGCACTGATGGCATAGCGGCACGGAGAAAGCGTGCACGCTTCGTGAAGCGGTCGAGGACGACCAGGATAGCATCATGACCGCGAGGGGTCGGAGGACGAAGGGGACCGATAAAGTCTATTGAGATGGACTGCCAACGAGCCTCAGGGATAGGAAAAGGCTGGAGCAAACCATAAGGCAAGTGGTTCGCACTTTTCACCTCCTGACAGGTGGGACACTCTGCGACGTAGTCCTTCACAAAGTCCTTGCGCTTCGGCCAGACGTACAGGCGGCTCACACGAGCCAACGTCTTGTGGAAGCCCATATGACCGGCGGCTGCCTGGTCATGGAACTCTGCTACTGCTCAGACACGTAGCTGTCCAGTGGATGGAACGCAAGTACGGGGCTCTATGGTGCCCTGTGAACCATGCCAGTACACAAGACCGTTGTCCCCGAGAGAGCAGTTCGGGACGGTCTTGCCGCTCCGAAGGGTCGCGTGGATGTTGCGATAGTCGGGGCAGTGGCGGTACTGAGTGCGAAACTCGTCGATCACCGAGTGGTGGACAACGGTGACCGAGATGGAAGAGAGTTGGATGTGCTCCTGGTCGTGGTCAGGGCGTCGGGATAAGGCATCTGCGACCCGATTAGGCTCACCCTTGATGTGCTCAGTGGTGAAACTAAACTCGGATAGGTCGCGCCACCAGCGAGCCTGTCGAGGAGTGAGCTTCGGCTTTGTCAGAAAAGCCTGGACAACA